TAGCCCAGGCACCCCCATTCAGAAGCTTCATGGGTAGGAGGAGCTTCTTCAAGTGCCTCTGCAATGAACAACCTCTTTATGGGGGAGGGGAGGAAACCTGAAGACACGTTTTCTTTACTCTGACTGGAGTCCTCAGTACTTTTCCACTCTTAGCCTTTCTCCTTTTCTGCTCCATCTTCCCAACCCCCAGTTCCATAAAACTGCAGGAGACTTGTTCCAGTGTTCCCTAGACAGCCAGAAAAACTCAGCACTCATTAAAAGAAGACCAAAAAAAAAAAAAAAAATCCAGATTTACAATAATGTAGAATCATCCAGATCCCGTGAGAACTGAAAAAACTCTCCGCAAGAAAGAATGCAACCTCCCTGAACCTCCCATCCTCTCACACCCCACACACGCTAAGAGACTAGACCAAACATTAGCATGGCTTCTAGTAGCCCACGGACAACCCAACAGGCCTAGAGTTCCTGTCTGGAAAAGCTCAAGGCTGCCAAAAAATTTTACTGTTTTTTCCAGCCAATACTTGATGGTAGGTCTCTGACTTCCTTTTTCTTAGGGCGTTACAATTGTAAATCCTTTCTCTGTCCCTTTGAGATGTATGTGAATCTTCTGCAACCTTTCTCAAGGACTTGGGAGCTATTCCTTTGCCATGTAAGCATCAAGATGGAGAGAGCCCCTGTCTCTCAGTTCTGTGAGAGGGTAGGGGCTTAACTTTAATAAGCACCAGATAGCAGAAGTAGATGGCCTAATTGCACCTCTTAATGTCCTTCCTACTTTTCCTTTAGTATACCCCAGTGTTTAAAAGGCTTCCTGCCTATCGTTTCAGAGGAGTAGAGCTCAGGTTACACTAGGGTCTCTCCTCTATAGTAGTAGTATTGAATAAAATCTGTCTTACAGCTTTTAACTAGTGTCTGAGACACTAGTTAAACAACCAGCTTTGTTTTTTGTTTTTTTTTGACACCAGCATGCTCTGTATCGAAATTATGAGACAGGCAAAATAAAAGCAGAAAATTGTGACACATTCTGAATACATGTCACATATGCAAGACAATGCTGATCACCAAATGGCTGTATTTTCCAGCACTGGAGGGTCTCCAGAATTATTGCTCTCTGCTGGGCCTCACAGAATCTTACCCTGAACATGTATACCTTGGTATTTATTGGGTAAAGACATAAAGGGGTCCTATGCAGGCCCTATGCTCCTTCTCTATGTGGCTCCCTTCCCTCTGGTATGCTGCCTTACAAACTCACAAACTCAGCGTGCGTTAAATCTTGTTAGACTCTACTTCTTCACACTGCATTCTAGAATATGCCCTTGGATAAAGAGCTAGGGCAGCTGTGGGCTCACCTCGTGGGTTTCCCCTCTCCCAGGTTAATGATCTCTGCTGTTGTCCAATGTCTGAAAACAGTTGCCTTGTGTTTTGTCCAGTTTCATAGTTCTTTGCAGTGGGAGAGGTAGCCCAGAATCTGTTATTTCATCATGCTGGAAGCAGAAGTCAATTACTCTTAAATTAGAGATCAGGAAACTGAAGAAGGGACATGTTAAGCTGCTTGTCCAAAATCATACAACTGTGTAAGTGCTGGAGCTAGAATTCAAACCCAAGTAATCTAACTTCATGGCTGCTTACTTAATTACTGCATGAAAAATGGCTTTATACATGTACACATGTAAAAGGTTTTGTCCAGTGTTAGGAAGCATGGTAAACCCTTAATAAAGCCTCACTACATTATTCTTTGAAATCTTACAGCTCAGCATGAATTTGTTCCTAGCCCACTGCTTTAAAGCAGAGATGGTCAATAGGACATAGACACCACCACATCCTTGATTAACGTTAACTTTTATTACTGTCCTACTATTAGCAAATAAAAACAAGGTATTTGCTTAGGACCTGTATTGCTTAAGTCCTGTTCATTTGCATAAGCAAAATATTAAATCCTTAGTTTAGTTTACTTTCCTTTGCCATTAAAATTTGCCTTTATTCATTAGAAATATAAAACAAAATGAAACAATTCAAGCAATCAGGCACAGGTGGGTACTCCTATCAAATTCTGAATTTCAAATCAATGAATACTGTGCAGTAACACACCCATCTGGCCGTGAAGGAGATTGCAGCAGAATGAAGTCAAGTTCAAGAAAAGGTACGTAAATATTTGTAACAGAACCCAACATTTAATCTACTATCTAATTCTTAATTCTTAATCTATCACTTAAATGAGCTCTAATTTTTCATCTTACATAAAAAAGTATAGTGAAGAAATCTTTAAGCCTACACGTTTCTTCGGTTTTAGCCCATAAACTTGAAAACAGTTTGGCCTATCTTCTGCCTCTTTTTTTCTGAGATATATGTAAATCTTTTCCAAATTTGTTATATCTACTAACACAAAATACAATAGACACTTCACAGTTATCCACTCACTCTGATTAATAAGGGACGGAGAACGAGTTTGTTCAGGTTTTCTTTCCATGACACTCCACTCTTGCCCCAGGCCAAAGAGACAAGCAAGCAAACATATGTTCCATTCCATCGACTTTGACCTCTCTGATGTTCAGCTCGACTGTGCAGCAGCTGCCAGATTTTCACTGCACATTGTTCTCTGTAGGTGGACCTTTTAAGTTCTAAGCTAAAAAAAAATTGCAAAGGGAAATAAAGAAATCAGGAAATGGTAAATTAAATAAACGTAAAACAGTTTATTGTTACCTTCCAACAAGCCCAAACTTCCCTTTTTTGATATTAGCTTTATCTGTGGCAGAAAGCCATCATGACTTCCTATCTGTGAATATTTCTGAATATGTTGTCAAGCTAGTAAAATCTTCAGAGAGGACATCTTCCTTAATTTCCACAAATTTACAAATTTTCAGCTTTGGTATGTGGGAGCCCATCTCATTGGGCCCATCTGAAGCCTCTAATCCTGCCACAGTGGATATTCCAATGTCAGGTGCTGGATAATGTCAATTGGCCAAGTCATTTTGTCAGATTCATTGTGGTATGGGTCAACAGGCAATACTAAGCTCTACACACTTTGTGCCCACCCACAAACCTTTACCTCAGATTTCCTTGTCCCCAAACTTCCAGTGCCCTGGTCCCTGACCTTTGCCCAAGGATACCTTAACCTTGGGCCACTTCCCACACAAATGGATAGCAAGATGTATTGCCTGAAAGTCTGCCCCCTTTGAGAGAATTTTCTCTCACCATTATCTTCCAAGACCAGCCCTGAGTAGGGCAGCAGTATAGCCATCATCTATTTCAGTTTGAACCATTTACTGGCCTTACCCATCCATGAGTCAAGTTCAGGCATTTTTCTCTTCCATCAACTGGCCACAACAGGATCAGAGGCAATATGTGTAAATTGAGGCAAAGGCACTGGTGCAACAGTGGTAGATAATTTGGGAATCGGGGCTATCTGCTTATATAGCATACAGCGCCCTTTGTGTTTGATTCCAAATATATCTTCCACCTTGTAATGGATTGCTACGTGACTCTACCCAAACTAAGAGTTTGATGGGATTGATAGAACCCAGATAACTATCAGTGTTTTGGGCTCTGTAGCCATAGAGCAGCCCACTGTCAGTTGCTACATCTTTACCAGGACCCAGCAGTGCATCAGAAGCTGTATGTTGAAAGGTGTTTACTTTTCTGTTGTAGACAGCATGAACTCGATCCAGAATCCTTCGAGTCTGCATCGTGATTTTCCCACTGGAACTTGTCATAAACGCCACACAGCATCTTATCCCACCACTGATGTGTTTAACAGGCATAGTTGCCTGTTCAGCCTATTTGGGAAACTCACCTAACATGGTTAACAGATATGACCAACCAGATTGGTAAGAGCTTTAACAAGATGCTGTTAAAGAAAACCTGGTGGTCCAACTTCTTAGACTATCTGGACAGTCTGACAGGTGCATTTGAACATTAAGAATGCAGGTTTCCTCCAGAGCCAGAAGCAGGAAAGCACAGGCAGGAAGAACATGACTTCTGGGCTCCTTATACTCAGATCTCTTACTATACTGTCCCTTCCCTTATTTGGACCTCATCCTTTTCTTCCAAGCCTTATGAATTCTCACCCTCCTCCACAACTTTCCCTCTTCAAAGTCAGCATTTTACTATGCAGAAGAGTCTAATGTCACCTCTAGAGTTCATTGTGCCTTTTATATTCGAGCATTTATAAAAACCTAAGATCGATCTAATCTTAACTCACAAGTTTATGCCTAAACTTTTATATTGTGTATTCCTTAATCTCACCAAAGTACCTAATTCTATTTGACATAACCTACAACATAAAACTAAGTTAAATGCTCTTAAGAGTTGTAAATAAGTCACATGCACTAATTTTCCTTTATCGTGTAATTTTAATATTGTCAAAGGATTCCACTGAGGCATGACTTTTTTTCCCACAGAAAAATACTTGTTACCTATTTCTTGCGGAATTAACACTCGAGATTGTCAAAACCTACAGTTATCATTCAGAGCTCTCCTCTCTGAGGATTTTCCTGGGTTCTTCGTAGACTTCCACCTAGTCTACGAAGGTAGGGCTATCAGCTGGGGCTGACAGATGGTGGACTTGTTACAGGATGATACATGGAAACATAAAAGGCAAAATTAAAATTTGCTGATGAGACTTATTTCCTAACCTTTTAATCACTCACTGCTTTGTTTGAAACATTTTCCTGTAACTGAATTGAGTGCAGTGGAAAGTTTTATTTCCTTTTTGTATTTCTACTAATGCCTTTTCAACTACAGTACTAATTCATCTATGAATGCTTATGTCAAAGAAAAATACAACACTGCATATGCTTAAAGAAAATATAGAAGTGATTCACCACATATATATTTGTAAATTTATGCTTAGGCCACAGGTTTTTTACCTTGGACTTTCAGAAGTAAACAAGAGGTATGTAAATAACAGAATAGCCACATTATAATGTCACTCACATGAACAGGGGTGGGGGGTGGGAGGTGGGCACAGACAAATTAGTTAACACTTTAATAAAATGAGCCGAACCCATTATAACAACAGCTCTTTATTACATGGATACACAGCAGACCAATCAATATTCCTTGACATTTAACAATCACATTCAATAAAAGCCTGTTAGTACATTCCTCAACACTCTAATTCTAAGGGGCTTCCTTCAAATTCCCTTTACAAAGCCGTGCACAAAGAAGAGGTTAAGCACCAGTAAGAAAGACTGTTGTTAGCAGCAGTTTTATTTATTCTTCATCATCATCATCATCATCATTACCATCATCACCATCATCAATAAACATGCAGTTTCTTCCTTCTATGTACATGGCATTGTAAATGGGTGCTACACTCTGCCTATGGTACAAAGTTTAGAAATACAATATACCAATACAAAGTTGAAGCCATTAAAAAGAGCTTAATAACAACTACCAGGAGATAATTACATCTGGAGTGTTGAAGGAATCTATGAAGAGATTTAGAAACAACACACAAAGTCAAACATTACAGTAAACATTTTACTTGGGAAGGAGTGAAAGGGGAACTTTTTATGTGCTGCTGAAGGGCTTTCTAAGTTGCTCCAAGTTTACTTCCTTTCTGCTATTATCTTTAAATACTGCAAAGCATTGTGAGCTGCATCACTCTGTGCATTGCCACAGGAGATCCCAGAGCCATGACAAACTGTGATGGGACTGGTAGACAGTTCAGCGAGACACTGATACTGTCCATTGGCACTCAGTTCCTCTGTAATGACATATTCAAACATGATGGTTAGATGGTTAGTCAGTATATATAAAATATATCCTTTGTATAAACAATACAATTTTTATCACTGTTTTTCTCCATAAGCATCCACGGTAGACTACTCCACTTACCATCTTTGTTATTCTTGTATAAACTAAAAACAAAACAATTGCTCAGCTATAGCATTTCTCAAACAAAGATTTGCTTCATTATCATCTAAGGGAACTGTAAAGAAATTCAGGTGTCTAGGCCTCACTCCAACCTGCTCAATCAGAAACGGGCAGAGTTGGGGGTTAGAACGGCCAGAGTCTTGCATTAAAAAAAAAAAAATGTCCCAAGGCAATTCTAGTATGGCTAAACAGTGTTTGCAAATTACTGACCAGTACTTCTTTTAAAAGGAGAAAATTATTTGCTAGAAGACTGGGGAAATTGTATTTTTTACCATAAAGTCTAGAGTTATTTTCAGCAGACATGTGAACCAGGGAATACATGAGTCAGGGCAAGACTTCCCTTGTGCCTTCGTGTTCCTTAGTTATAAATCTGTGCGGAGCCCAGTTCCATCTTGTATATGGGTTAGGATGTTTTAAAAACAGTACCTAAACCCAAGAAACAAATGTTCTTCTCCTCAACTGATGAATCACTCTTATCAAAGATAAATAAATAAGACAAGGGGAAGAAGTAGAAACATGTGAGTTATGACTTATTTAAAGTGGTCATGATTAAATGTTATTTCAGGTAGAGTCAATATAGTGGAAAATATCCAGACACAATAGGATTATTTAATGCCTGAAGAGGCTTTCTAGTTGTAGCATCTACGCTTTTATTATTTTTCTAATTGAGGTAAAATTCATACAATATAAAATTAACTATTTTTAAATTGAATTATTCAGTGGCATTTAGTGCAGTCACAATGTTGTGCAACCACCTCCATCTAATCACAAAACATTTTTGCCATTTCATCACCCCAAGAGGAAACCCCAAACCATTAAGCAGCTGCTTCCAACCTGCCTGCCCACGCCCCACAATCTCGGCCTCAGCCCTTGGCAACCACCAATCTGCATTCTGTCTCTATGAACTAATCTATTCTGGATATTTCATATAAATGGAATCATATAATATGTGACATTTCATGTCTGGCTTCTTTTACTTAGTATATTCCTGAGGTTCATCCATGTAGTAAATATCAGAACTTCATTCCTTTTCATGGCTGAATAATATTTCATTGCATGTATATACCACAATTGATTTATCCATTATCTGTCATGGACATATAGGCTATTTCAACTTTCTGGCTATTATGACTAGCACAGCTATAAACATGTGTGTACAGGTATTTGTTTGTATATTAGTTTCCAATTCATTTGGATACATACCTAGTAGAGTTGCTGGGTCATAAGGCAACTCATTTGAGGTGCTGCAAAACTGTATTCCATAGCAGCTGAACCGTTTTACATTCCCGCCAGCAATGCATGAGGGCTCTACTATCTCTACATCTTCACTAACATTTGTTACATTTTTCATCACAGCCATCTTAACGGGTGTGAATTGGTATCTCACAGTGGTTTTATTTCCCTGATGACCAATGATGTTGAGCATCTATCTTTTCATGTGCTTGCTGGCCTTCTGTATATCTTCTTTGGGGAACATTTAGATTCTTTTGAAGATATTTACATAGAAGGTAGCCAAATTAACACTGTGGTTTTTAGACTGCTGTCCTATATTTACAAGAAATACTTAGTTCTTTAAATCGTTAAGAAGCATTCCAAAAGCATCATTAATTTATGACCTAAACAATCATCTCAAGTTTCCTTCTTTTCCTAGATTCAAAACTTTCCATAGTCCTATCCATGACATAGCTTATTCATCTTTGTCTCAAATACCCAACAAAGCATAGACACTTAATAAGTATTTGTTGAATGAATGGTCTTTCATCAACCACCTTTTCTGAGCATCTGTATGCACTAAATTCCCAGGTTTGGCCTCATTCTCAGTATATTAAGATACTGCACTTGACCCATCATTCAATCCTAAAGTGGCATAGAAAATCATAAGTTCTTTCAGTCCCTAAACACCCTACTTCCCAGTGCCAGGAGCTCTGACAAGTTAGGTCCCCACAGCTAACTGAAACTGGAATAAGAGATATCAAATTCTTTACACATTATACTGATGTTAAATCAAAACAATAAATGTATGCACCTTCACGCACATAACACACATTAGCTAGCTTTATATGCTGAATTAAAAGAAAATCCAAACTGACTTGTTTTCCAGTCTGTTCACATTTGTCTATCTAAATGATTAAGAGCTATAAAGAAGGGAAAATATGATAGCTGGAATGGGATAAAGCTATTAATTGATTTGACCCCTTTTATCTCCCAGAATTGGTGAATACTGACAAAGTAGAGAGGTACGGCCCTCTCAAACTTCATATTTTCTAGAAATGTGGGTACCTTTATATTTGTCAATCTGCCCATCAGGGCTAGTTTAATAGACAGTGTATCTCTAGTTGCTCTTCCCCAAATCTGGTTCTACCACTGACAAGCTATGTAATCTTGGCCAAGTTTCTCAACCTTTCTGTGCCTTACTTTCTTCACTTACATATAGAACCTACTTCACAGGGTTAGTTTGAGGATTCAGTCAGCTGATATATGTAATGTCCTTAAAATAGTGCCTGGCACATAGGAAAACTCTATAAATCTTAGCTATTGTTATTTTTATAACTCTACAGATGTTAGCTATTATTATTATTTATAAGAATGAAACATATCAATTATATAGATTACTGCCTGGTATTACAGTTAGAATCCTTGATCACGAAAATAAATTATAAAAGAAGTTTTTTTCTCAAACATATTTTTATTATTTTTCTATTTTTTATTTTTTTAATTGAAGAAATGATTTAATTTTTTCTTTTCCCATCTACCTCTTCCCTCCCCCTTCCCCTCTGGTAACCATTAGTCCATTGTCCATGTCCATCAAACATATTTTTAAAAGAAAGATGTTTTGGGATAAACCAAAAAAAAATCATACCTATATCCAAATATGTTATATTAAAACCTTGTTCCTTGGCGATTTCACTAAGTAGCTGGATGTAATCTGTATTTGGAATACTGAGAAGGCTTCTTTTCAGTAAGTTGATCTTCTCACCAGGAGAATTCCTCAAGGAATGCCAAGTACATCCTAAAGAATGCCCTACTACATTTGTCTGAAAAACAGAGATGAAGATTAACACTCAACTAGGACTGGTTTCCAAAACTATAATTAAAAGTACTTAAAGGCACTTACATTTAATATTTTATAAAGCATGGTTAACTTTACAATTTAAAATAGACAACACTAACTAGTACACACATTTAACAAATACCATAATCTTAAGAAAAAAGAAGCATGTGCGATAATATACTTCCAATATTTAAAAATACTTTTGTGTAATACAAATGTCGCTCGGTTGAGTTTTACGATGGTTATATTATGCATGCTGGGTTTGAGAAGAACAAGTTATTCAAGGACATCAAAAGCTCTTCTCAGACTTATATTCCAGAACCCAACTGAGCTTATGTTTTTCTGTTTCTTTCTCTTTTTTCTTTATATTCTCCTATATCCTTCTCTTTCACCTCTATTTTTAGAATGCTTTGCATTTCCATGTTAGTTTATGGTAGTCAAATTGCTTTCCTATATTATGCTATTTAAAAAACCCAAAACAACTACTCTCTGTAGTAAGTAGGGCAACCTACCCTTAGGCTTACTTATTAATGAGCCCCGATAGAGGTTAAGAGAATTTCAAAAGATCACAGAGATGGTGGTGGTACAGTACTGAGTAATTTGTAAAATGTAAATAAAATTTTATATTCCTTGACTGAACCTTCAAACAATATATTTTTAAAAATTATAATTCATTCACATGGTAAAAAATACCTGCAGTAAGAACAAACAGCTAATGAAGAATAGTCTATTTTCCTTACCACCCCTTCCCCAAAGACTTCTGTTCCACTTCCCAGAGGCACTTGCTGTTAAACATTTCTTCAGTATCCTTCCATAAACAGTCTATGGATATTCAAGCACATGCACACATGTGATCTTTTTATACAAATATTATAGCTTACTCATCTAACATCTTATTCATTTGTCTCATATTAGCACACACAAATACATTATATTTATCTTTAAATAGCATCCAACCAAAGGTTTTAGGTTTCTGGTTTCCTGCTTTTACAAACAGTTACAATAAAACTCTTTTGCACTGGGATGACTTTCTCTGAGGAATAATTTCTAAAAGTAGAATTGCTGAGTCGAAGAACATGTATGCTTTTAATTTTTTAAATATTCTAAACTGATATTTGAACCACTTTATACTCTCATCAAGTCTTGAAGGGTGCTTGTCTTCTCATGCCCTCACCAACACCAGATATTATCAAACTTTGTAGTTTTAGCCAATCTAAAAGATGAAATTAGTATCTTGTTTAACTTGCATGAATAAAGCTGAACATTTATTTTTTAACCATTTGTATTTCTTTTATTTGTCTTTTTTATTGGTGTGTAAGAGCTTTTTGTGTGGTAATGAAAACAGTTCCTTTATATTTATATGTTGAAAATAACATATTTTTTGTTCATTTGTTTTTATTGAGATTTAACTGACATATTATATTAGTTTCAGATGTACAACAGTTCGTTTTGTATATATTGTAAAATGATCACTACATAAGCCTAGTTAACATCCATCACCACACTTAAATTGTTTTCTTGTGATGAGAATTTTTTTTTCAATGGTGACATTGGTTAACGAAATCCAGTAAGTATGATGAGAGCTTTTAAGATGTACTCTCTTATCGACTTTCAAATATACAATCTCACTGTTTTTATTCTTGATTTACAGATCTTTTGCTGACTTGGTTACAGCCCAGTCAATGAGAAGCTCTTATTAACTTGAATCCTTTGAAACACCCCCTCCCAAGCTGCTTGCTCCTTCCCCTAGAAATGTAAGCCCCTCTCCTGTTTTTCAGACTTGCCTAAGGTTCACATAATTTGCCTGTCCAGAATTGCAATTCCTCTGCTCTTCCCAAATGAATCCATTTTGATGGTAAAATAATTGCCTTTTTTTTTTAAGGTCAACAGGAATAAGGTAGCAACCAAATGATAGGTATGCGCGCACGTGCACATACACATACATACACCTTTCCCCCGTTGAAATGGCTGTAAGTTGTTTGTATATCATTTATTGAATAATCCATCCTCTCGCTCACTGATTTGAAATCTCACTGTTGTCATATACTTTGTTCCTATGTGGATTAGCATCTATACCTGGATTCTACAGTCTATTCCATTTATTTTTGTACCAGTACCTATTTTAACTATTACTATAGTTTTATTGTATAAAACTTCTTTTCTGGTAGCAGCCCATCTCTCATACTTTTCTTTTTCAGTTTTCTTGGCTGTTCTTGGGAGTTTATTTTTCCGGATAAACTGAGTAAGCTGTATCAAGGTCCAAAATAAATTCTGGTATATTTTGAGTGAGACTACATTACTTTTCTGTATGTTTACAATGTATTGACAATATTTACAATTCAAGACAGGTTTACATTTATTCATTTTCTATTATATTATCTATACTTATAGATATACATGTTACATATAAACATGTAACCATGATTGATTTTTTTTGGAGATATACTTTGATCTACAATAAGGAATTTTTAAAGTGTTGATCAATAATGATTTCTAAATTTTGACAAATATCTTTTTGAAACCCATTGAGACAATTATGTTTTTGCTCCTTTGACTCATTAATGTGGTTAATTATGTTAACTGATTTACTAACCTTGAAATCGTCTTGCATTCCTGAAATAAAGCCTACTTGTCTATGGTATATTATTCTTTTAATGTTCTACTGAATAGTTCATTAAAATCTCACCATAAAGGAAATTTTTTTTGTTGGGATTTGCTATTGTTAGGTTTTCGTGCTAGTTTTATGCTGGTTTTGGAGAACAAATTTAGAAGCTTTCTCTATGTTATATATATACTGCTGGGAAGAGTTGAAATAGTATTGGAAATAACCTCTTCCTTGAAGGTTCAACAGAATGCAACTGTAAACTTATCTGTGCTTTGCAATTTTAGCGTCATCTCTGATCCAATTTCAAAAGACGTGAATGCAATATATTTTCTTTTT